GTTGCTTTTTACTGACTTAGTTATCATGATATATTTTTCTTCTTATCTACACCAAATTATCATTTCGAAATGAAAAACGATTTCCTGAGGTCGTCAGATTGCACATCTAAAATTCATTTTTCGAAAGTTCAATTCTATTTGATGGCCTAAAAAATGCAGAAAACAATAATTAACAGCTGAGAATTTCTTCATATATGACTCAATCGGAAAAAGCCCATTGATATCTCAGATGCTATATGCAATATTTTCCTTATTTAGCAATTGTTTGTTAGCTGATCCAAGATCGCTGAATGCAAGTGAAATTTATACTGATTTCCTTTATGAAAGTCTAAGATTTAGAAATAGTAGATGTAGTAAAAGATGATATTTTAACATTTTGCAGGCTCGTACATTACAGTCGCATTTGAATGAGTGTAAGTCGTACAATTAAAGATCAGATTGTAATATGAACGAGACAAACCAATAAACACCGATCTTATCATTAAACAAAAAAAATAGTATTTGCATTCTTATTGAAATTCATTTCATTCAAAAAAAAAAATGTTTTTATTTTCTATTAAAAACAAAAAATATTTCCCAACGGTAATATCAAGGATGAATCGGAAAAAAAATTCCTATCAGGAATATTTTTCCAGTTTTCTGAATAAACTCAATTAATAGCGGAACCCTTTTTTGAGCAAAATAAAATATTTCTGGACTATCGACAACCTTTTTTTTTTTTTTTCATCTAATTATATTATAATTAGGCAAGGCAACAGACCAATATTTATATTTATTTTTCATAGATTTAATGTGTGTTACACTTTGGAGTTTTTCGGATTAAGCTTAACTGTCATCCCAGAGCAAATCTCTCAAAAAATATAAATCTACTAAATTTATTATTTATATTTAAAATATGTTCATTGTTAAAAAAATTGCTGTGAAATCTACGGTTTTAACAAGTGAAGTCATTCATTCGAGTATAGTGAAGTATTATAAGATAATAATGTTTTAAAAAAATTAATTTTATTTTTCTATTTTGTATGTACTTCTAAGATTTCCTCATAAAAAATCTACTTTAATTTAACAACTATAAGAAGAATAATGCCAAAATATATTGACAACTATTTTGTCTTTATTTAAAAAAAAAAAGGCTTGCCAATCTAAAAAATTCAATGAAAATTCTTGTTTAAATCATCATCAAGTTTTGATAAAACAATCAAAATAATTAATGTTTGGATGAAAGAACTTGTTTTCGAGCTTGTTCAATAATTCGAGCTATTTGCAACGAATGTTCAAGTGTCATATATGGATGTTCAGTTTTTCCACTCATAATTTGATCACGACATGCAATTGCTTCATAACGAAGACCAGCGGAATTTTCAAAATTTGTTTTTTTAATTGTTTCAGGTAAATGATGATCAACATGATGACCATTTGGTAATACAATTCGAGTTGGACACCAAAAATGATTCGGAAGACTAACAACACCTTGAATTAAAACAAAAACAAAAAAATAAATAAATAAATTTAAAATTTTATTTTGTACCTTCAGTTCCATGAATTGCTAATGAATTAATTGTTCCAATGTTTTCACCAAGACAATTAAGAACAGCCATACGATTATTTTTAAATAATAATGTTATACTAACCATTGTATCACTTATTTCACCTTGAAATTCTCTTGTATGACCTGTTGCTGTAATTGATTCTGGTTCTTCATGATTAAAAGCAATTAAAGCTGCTTGTACAGGATAACAACCAATACTCATAAGCGTACTCCAACAACCATTAGAAACTAGACCAGTAACACAAAATGTACATTCAACAAATGTAATCTAAATCGAAAGATTAAATCAGTTATGAATGATTTTTTTTTCAAAATTTACTGTTCCAATTTGTTTAACCGCATCACGTAAATAATTATAGATAGGAAAAAATCGTGACCACATTGCTTCCATCATAAATTTTTTTGTTTTTCTTGCTGTATCAATTATTTGTTGAACTTCATCTACATTCATTGCTAATGGTTTTTCACATAAAACATGTTTATTTTGAGTTAAAGCTTTAATGCATAAATCTCGATGAACATGTTCTATTGTTCCAATATAAACAATATCAACATTTGGATCTTCAAATAATTCTTCTTGTGAATCATATGTACGAACTTGATTTCCAAGGCCAAATTCTTTAATAAAATTGTCAGCTTGGGTTTTATCTCGAGAACTAACACCAACAATAATATGTTCATGATGATCACAAGTCAATAATGCAAGACAAAAGTCCTGACAAATACGACCTGTTCCAACAATACCCCACTTGAGTTGCATGTTTAATGAAAAATAAAGAAAAACGAATATCTAAGTGGTAAAACAAAGAATCTTCCATTCAAATGATGGCAGCAGTAGCTAAGTAGAGATAATAGCAATTGTGTCGCTAGATTACAGAAATAATTATACAAATATAATATTTGATCCAAATCCATTCCCACAGTATTTCTTATTGAAATTTTTAATGCGTCACGAAGTAAAACATTTATGTAGGTCGTCATAAGTTCTTTTTTTTTATTTCTCAGGTCCTATTCATTGAAAGATCGTATATTCTATCGCAATGATCTGGAAAATAAAAAGTCACAAGATATTTGTTTAAACACATGGTGAAAGTGCCAAGATTGAATCGACATGATCCATATTACTGATCTTCGGTAATAGCTTTGGTTTATCTATAAAGAGCTCGATAAAATGCAAATTTTTTTTTTGATTTTGTTGTTTTTCAAGCTTCGAGATAATGATAATAAAAATAGTTTTATATTCAACTGCAAGAGCAGCTGATTCTAGATCAGAACTATAACAGAGATAATTGAATGATCAATGCACTGTATAAATGAATGTAGGGAAGGGAAATACTTCTCATTAGATTGACCACATTCGTTTTTTTTTTTAAACTAATTAACAAAACCAAAAACTGGAGTAAACGAAAAAAAATGTAACTGAGAATATTGTTATATCTGAAACAACGACACAAACAAGTTGACACATCTTATGATGAAAAAATAACATCTAACGAATTTGAATAATAATTAATAGATAACAAGATCTAATGAAATACTTGTTTTGGAAATTTATTAGCAAGAATATCATCCTATTCTTAGACATTCAACACTAATGAGAAGTTTATTTTATTATAAAATAAGGATGGAGTGTGGATGTTCGTGGATCATGAAAAGACTGGCACCGACACCCTGCTATTCTACCTAACATATCAATGCTTATTTTGATTACGGTCACGGATTGTTCCCGTAACAGATGAAAATCTTTCGTTAGGAAAAATGATGACACTTCTAATCAATCTAACCTCAGTATCATATGACCGAAATGCTGCACTATATCTATTAGATAAAGTAGATATTGATTTCAATAAAAGTCGCATGGGTTATTCATCAATTGATTCTATTTCTGTTATTAAGTCGTTTTCAAAATCCGAATGAAAGTACAAAATATGATAAGTTGAATAGTTGCCTAGCTGAATAAATTAGTCATTTATTGTAAAGATATTCATTCGATTACAAAGATTGGGTTCTCTTGTTCGATACGATTCATTGTTGGTTCTTAATGGCGAGAAATTTATTGGCGTTTGATCTTTTTGATTATTTTAGTTGATTTATTCCTTTGCATATCATTGAGAAAATTGACTTCATATACTTCTGATCTTCCAGGAAAATCAATATCAATGGTTGATGCACTTAACATCTTCGAACAATGTCTTCCGTCCAATTATTCATTACTAGCTATTATCTACAATAATATTGCAAGAGTACATGATAATAAGGAAGAACATGGAATTTTTGTTTTGATGAATAAACTTTCATCTTTCGCGAAACTTTAAAATCAAATCAAGAACTAAATCTCTTGTTTGTTTTATAAGGTGAAATGATGAATATGCTATATACATGTAAAGTAAAAATAAATAAATATTATAGGAGCACTCTGACTTTTTCAATAAGGGAATTATTTTAGGGCTATAGATGTTTACTTGCCCGTCAAATCATACATATTGACATCTAGTATCTGCCATTTTCGCTGAAAAGAATATGATATTGTTTAAATGACTTTCTTATCTTTGATATCAATATTGAGACTGATGTAAATTACAATAGCTCGAATGCTTCCTCACGATCATAAGGTAAATTAGATCATTCTTTAAAGAATTAATTCATACCCGAGCTTGAGAGAAAGAAAGAATATCAGCACTTGCTTGTGCCATATGATGACCAGAATCGTCTAGAGAGCTTAACTCTTGATGAAACAGATATATTGAATTATTTCTCATGTTTCGTTTTTGACTATTCAAAAAACAAATTAAATCATAAGTCTAAAGATGTTTTAATTCGAACTCAAGTCATAATATTATTAAGAATCATTAATTGTTGGTATAACAAACAAACATGTGAGAAACGAGAACAACCTTTCACATCTTTTACTCAAAAAAAAATCATTTGTTTTGACTTCAACTCGAAATAATTCTTCGAACTATAAAAGAAAACATTGTAAACATTTCTATTGAGCAAGCTGGAATCTGTTGGCTCGACATTATTAAAATTAACCAATTAGGTTAGCAAGTTAAATGATATTTATTTGAAAAGAACGGCTATTGTAGCTACATATGATTTTGGTCTTGTGCATTTGTGGCTGTATTCGTTTTCATTCCGTGATGTAATGTCGTGTTTGATTGCAATTGCAGTCCTATGTGTGGAACCACTCTATTATGGACATTACCCTTCCAGCAAACTGCTCTGCTACATAGGGATTCGTGTCTAAACACGTTGAAATAAACTTCAGAAGGACAGATGACTACAAAGAACGTGGCAGCTTGAGGTATATAAAGAATTAAATTGGCAGATGTATTCAATCGAAGAAGCCATTTAATTGTAACATCAACACAGTTGAATTTCAATGGAAGTATCAACTGTGGTAGTGTACATAACTTAAAAGAGAAAGATAAATTATTATGAGAAAAACAAATTAACATCGAACAATTACCATAGCCAATGTTGGTGCAAGAAATAAGTGACCATGACGTCGAAATTCTCTAAGCCATTGTGACCAATAAGTTCTTCCATGAAGAGTAGCTCGTCGTTGACTGATTGATGTCATAATCAAACAATTAGCCAAGACATTCAATGAAAATGGTACAAATAAATGAAGAAATGTAAAAATTGTATTTAATGTTAATAATTCTGGTGAATATTTAATTTGGCAAACGAATTTTCCTTCAGCAACTGGATCAGGCAATGTTACACGACAAGCTAATTCATGTATATGCATTAAAAATATACAAATAATTATAGTAAATAATTGCTTTGGTGCAGCTGTTCGTGAGCGAATTTTATTGAGTAAATGATTATGCTCGAATGAATGTAATGATCGTTGCAATGCAATGAGTCCATTTATCCAAAGACAAATTCGAGTAAATATAGACGCAAGACCAGATACAACATTACAGATAATAAAGAAGGGTATATACGTAAGATAGTCTAATAATTGAAAGAGACGACATTCAAGCATAAGCAGCCCAAATAATGAACAACAACTATACACAAGAAGATGGATACCAACTGTAGTTTGTCTTAATTGTACATGACGAAATGTTTCAATTGAAAAAATATTGGATCCAAAACCCACTGCAACCATTAACGTCACCGAAAATGCATAGGCAAATGTCATAATTTGTTCTTGATAGATGCTGCTCGTCCGTATATCTGTCTTCATACTCGATGCAAGACCAAGAAGAAAAATATTGACAGATTTATTACAAGTCATCTTGTAGTCAGAAATAAGACTAGTAAAAATTTAACTTAGATCTGAAATGTTTTAAGAAAGACAAGCAAATGGAAATCTCAGATTTCAAGAGAAAAAGAATTATAGCGCCGTTATGAAAATGACACATCGGATGCTGTCACTGACAGACTAGATCATTTCTGTATTTAATCTATAGAGAAATTCATAGTGATATATGGGATATGCCATTGGACAGATTGAAATTCAATGCATTTAGAAATTATCTTACTGTCCAAGAGGAAATAAAGGAACGAAAGTATTGGTGTTGTTACATTTTTTTTATTCATGATGAGTGTAACTTTGACGTGCTTGCATGAAAATAATAATTTAAATGATTTAGTTCGAGAATAATAAGTGCTTCCTGAATTCTACATGAAGTAATTTGTTTCAGCATTTAGCATCACACGTATCTATTTTTTACGTTTCAATTTCAATTTCCATTGTATTAAATAGTTACGATGAAAATTCTTATCTAAGCTTAGATGATGTCCTTTTGAACTGAAATTTAATCTATATAATGGCATGTTGATATTATGAATTACATTTTATTCATAATCTTCTTAATTATACAGAAAGATATGTCGCTCGAATCAAGACATAATGTCGAACTTCTTCATTTCAAAAGAAACTTATAATATTCATCAATTTTTTATTTATTAAAGACAATAAATTAAATACTGTAAAAGTACAATACATAAAGTTTCGATTTTGTTGAAGATTATCATGATATTGATGAGTTGTCTTGAGCAGCATAATTGAATAAAATAAATTATTTTTCGTTGTTAATATTCATGTTTGTGCATTCGACGAAGAACAGTCTATAGAGTTATAAGTTCTATGATATTCAAAGATGCTTAAGAAACGTATCCATTTGGTATGTTTTGGTTAGTCAATGAGTTGTTGTTCGAAAAATATACGGAAAAATTTCATTGAATAATGTACTGAATGAGGAAATATGTACAAAGGATAAGACATTGTCAATAAGAGACGTTCTGAAAGGAGGACAATGTGTTTATGTGTAATCATTTGGAAGCCTATTCGAATGAGCTTTCATTGTAATCAAAGATACACGAAATTCAACAGAAATCCCTTTTGTTCAAGCATGCATCAGTGACTATAACCTAGAATAATATTGGTCACCTAAATAACCCCCCCCCAAAAAAATTGAACGCCACCCTATAATAGAAAGGCACCCGGAATAGAAGGCCACCCCGGACCGTTTGATTCTCTGGACATAATATAACGCCATACCAATTTCAAGGAAAAATGCGAAAAAAATTCCGGCANTGACGCAGTTTGAATAGTTTGTGAGTGTGCTAGCATCTGAGAAAGACGAGACTCAGGTTTCATGTCCCTGATGCGGTGGTGTTGCGGATTTTGGGCTTTAGTTCAAGGATGTGGGTGTGAGTGTGAGTGTAGAGACAAGAAACAATATGATCCACACCCACACCTACACACCCACCAATACCCACACCCACACCCGCACACCCACCCCCACACCCCAACTGGGGTAATTCGGATCAACAACGACCCCGTCGCACTATTTTCGCTGATACTTTTTTCTGGTAAAAGATATCGAGGAGACTCTTTCGTCAGTCGATAGAAAACACTTTGATCTAGTTGTAATAAAAAAATCACCTTTCTATCGCGTAAAACGGAGGAGAATGAAACAAAACAAAATCAATTTTTGAAATTTTGATCCGAATTACCCCATACGACTCTAGTTCTTTTTTAAGTTTCATAGAAAAGGAGGAATACTTCGAAAAGACAGATGTTTTGCTTCGATTTGTATCTATAGGATCAAATCGTCAACGACAAATAATAATGATTTACTCTTACGTGATGGGTTTATTCTCTTGAAATTTGAATCCCTAACAAAGAAAGATAAGAGTTCAGCAGACTATCTATACAGAGCCGTATTCCATGTATTCAACGATATAGAATAAATGTCAAACAGTTTTATTAAAATATAAATATATGGATACCACTTCATTATTAGGCATTAAGAAAAATAAAGAAAACAATAATTAAGGGAAGTATGTTCGCTTTTTAAATGCCTGCGTATTTTGGATATTTTATTTTTTTGTACTCGTCGATTCAAAGTTGGACGTTTATTGGTGCGTCAGTTTCATTAGTAATACTGCGGTCTAAAGTGAGAGAAAGCAGATAAGTAATAAAAAACACGACGATACTTAGATGATTGACTAAATAATGAGATAAAAAAGAAATGTGCTATTGGACAGATAATAATAGAACGGATACACACGCATATTTATATATAGAGATAAGCAGAACGGAAAAAATTCATATACGACATAAGACAACATGGCGAAAAACTCCCAACATGTCTTTTTGTACACGAAAGATAGTTAGTTCCAATAATTATAAACGTTCTAAAACTTTTCATTTCAATAAAATCTTGTTAAGTGAATTTCATAGTAGTTTGGTGTATTCAATAAAACATTTTATGAACAATTTTTTGATGTTAGCATCAAATATAATTTCGTTGTTAAGATCATGCTTCAGCATTGCTCATGAATCCAATTATAAGATATAGAACAAGACTATGGATATGTGTTTATGGATGTTTAGAGAGAAAAATCTAACATCCACATCCCACTCACACTACCTGATTATTAGCAACTTCATTCGATTGTGTTAGAAAAATCTAATTTGACACCCTATAACCTACACTGTGGCTGTCGCATGACTAATGTTGATTATTTCAAAACTTTTCGAATGGATTCACAATTTTTTTCTGCTAACATGCCAAGGATAGAAATGAATTTGAATAGTACTTGAAAAATACGGCCCACTAAATTTACTCTTTAGAAGAACAACTAACATTTCATGTTGAGATATCTCTCATAAACAATAGTCTATAGAAAAAAAATTAGACAACTGTTTGGTATTGAATGATTTATGTGACTTACAATGGTTTTTTATGATTTTAAGAATCACTACGACATATGCTTTGTCGGATGAGTAAAGCATTGTCAAGAAGGTTAGCACTGTGTGTTTGAAGGTAAGCAGCTGAACTAGTTGCACTAATACCAAAGCGTCGGAAGTTACAACGAATGCGAATTGGAGCTTGATTCTATTGAATGATGACACTGCGTGGAGGTGGGCATAGTACTGGAGGAGGAGCATGTTGAAAAATAGTACGACCTTTTAGTTGAAGTTCGTACAGAATCCAATGTTCCATAAGAATTCTACCTAACGTAAATGAATAATACAATAAAAACATTAGAAAGAAAAGGAAAAGATTAATAACGTGGTCGTAATGGAGGAAGAAGTGGACAAACTTCTGTACTGAGTCGCTGTGAAAAAAGGATTAGATATTATAATATAGATTATGATGATTAATAGAAATTACTTACTTTTGGCAGTGGAACAGATGGTTGAAGGAATTGAACTGGAACATTTTGTGTAAGGTATCTCTAATATATCCAGCACCACCAACGACTGTTTAGTAACTACTAGCAAGACCAGTGTCAACACCATCACCAGCTACAAATGAGAAATCGTACACATCACCAAGATCAGTGTCAGTTGCTCCCAATTCATAATTTGTAGCACCAACACCAAGTTTTCGACCTTCAAAATGCAACGACTATCATCAATTAACATATACATTATACTTGCAAATACATCGAACCACTAAGAAAATTACGGTATTCACCGCGATCGATGCATCCATCTTGCTTAAGATCGACTTGATTGAAGACATACTCATTTGTGTAGCGTTATTGTGGACAGAGCACTTACCGATAAAAGTTAGAAGTGAAAAAAAGCTGCCAGTTGATCATTATCTATATGGAATCAATCGAACCTGGATGGATGGATATAGAGCAGAGGACAGAGACAAAGAAAAAGGCAAATAACGGTATATTTTTTACTTGAGCCCACTATAAAATTTTGTTTGTGAAACTTTTTATGTTTGTACATAAAGTAATAATTAATTCACCCGAAAAAATATTGACAAGCAAAAAACGAGAGATAGTATGGTGGCTGTCGGGGGGGAGGGAGAGGGTAGAGTGCAAAATTATATATTGGTAAATAATATTGGATGTATAATAAGAGGGCACTTTAATATGAAATCTAATTCTCTCAAAAAAACTTTTTAAAATACTATATATGAAAAGCAAAGCAACAATATTTTTTGAAGACAATAATTAGCTAGGATAAAGAAAGCAATGGTTCACTCTCTTACTTGAACATGTAGCTTGTGGTGAATGGTTAAAAAAACCTATATTATTCAATTAGAAAATATTTAATAGTTTACTTTTGATACAGAGTACATGCTCCTATGTGATTTTAAATGTGCAGTGTTACCATAATTACTGGCAAACTCATCCAAATGTCCATTAGCAACTGATTAAAAGAAGTGAATATAATTCAAAGCTGCTTTTTCTTCTGGAATGATTGTAATGATATAGTGTCTTAATTTCAAGTGTTGTTTCAATGCATTCAAATAATTAATTATAAACAATATTTATCTTGGTAATACATATTTTCATTCGTACGTAAATCAGCAACTAAAAGTAGAGTTAAAGTTGAGGTAAAGAAAAAATGGATTAATCAAGATACATGTGAAGCTTCTTTAAATAAAAAAGATACTCAAGCAAACCAATTTAATAGAGTAAGCTAGTAATAAATAAATCTGGTAAAGATATTCAAAAATTAATCAAACTTATTTTTTTCTCAAATGATAGAGCAATATCAACTAAAAACAATACATATATTAGCCAAAAACTCCGTCACTTTCGAATGTTGATTCATAGAAAAACTATTCTGCTAATCTGTTAATAGTAAAGTTTCAAAGTTGTCCATGTCATATGCAATACAATACT